CCCCAAAACCCCAAAACCCCAAAACCCCAAAACCCCATTTTAGTTTTAAAAATTGAATATTATTAATTTTGCACAATGGACTCGAAACTTATGGGTAAAAATATGCCTCTTGAAGAATATCTCGCTCTCTTGGACCAACAGAACAAGGCCAAGAAGGCTAAAGAAGCATCTGATAAGGTTAGTTTTAGGATAATTTCATATGTGGTCTTGCTAGGATTATCGGATTGAATTTTTGTTCCCTAACCAATAGATTTAGTCCAAAATACTCAAGAAAGAGCTAGAAGAGCGTGAGAAAGGGTTTAATGTGTTCATCTCTGGAGCTAACCAAGAGAGAGCTGATGCTGCTAACCGAAAAATCAAAGCAAAAGATGCTTCTAAGAGTACTAAAGTTCTCGATCAACCTCCTCGTCGGAAATGGGAACCCCAAAGTAGTCAGAGCTCCTTCGGAAAGCCTCCTGATGACCAATACATGAATCCGTTTGAGCATCGGTCGAACTCATTCCTTTCTAGTAAGACAGATCTAGATAGCCCTGTCAAGGATGCTCCTAAAGTTCGTAAAAAGTGGGATAAATAAGACCAAAAATGCTTTTGATTATGACAACGATGAAAATGATTTTCTAGAAGACCTTGGGTTCCATAAAGATGATGGGGTTGAAGACAGCATTTCTAAGTTTTCCTCTCATGTAGCGTATAATAACGACATGCCGAGGAAATCCGACTTATGACGGACAGATTCGAATGTGATTTCTGAAGAAGGATTAGATTCCAGCTCGAACAATGTCAGTGTTATGCGTCAGACAGATAGAATTCCCACTAGAGAAGATATTGAAAGCTCAGATAATGGTAAGTAAATTCATAAATTTTCTCTAATTTACACAGAAGAGGAGGATATGGAGAAGCTAGTCATGAACGCCAGCAATGCTGAACTAGAATTCATGCGACAGAGTCTCTCTAATTTTCAAGAACTCATGGCTCGTGAGACTCAAGAAATCAATAATTTCCGTAAAGAGACCACCCCTCGAATTGATGAAAATGAGCACGAATCTGATGAAGATTATAATGACGATTTTGAACCAGCTGATGAAGACAGTGATGAAGAACCCCAGAAAGATGTCTATGAAATAAAGTCAGGCAGTGCAGATTCTATAGAGGAGGAGCTCGACATTGAGAATGATGAGGATGATACCACCAATCCTATTGATAACACTGTGGATGAGATCCAGAGAAATAAAATTTCGTCAATGAAGCCTCCCACAAGCTCTGCCAAAAGAGCCGTATCTGCTCAATATCAGCTTAGAAGCTTGAAGCCAGGCAAACCTAAGACTACCAGGTTTAATAATTATGAAAAGAGTCAGAAAAATACAGTCATCAAAGCTCTCATGGAAGAAAATGAAAAATTTGGAATCGGTGAACCAGAAAAGCGCATGAAAGCCCAAACAAAAGAGTCAAGACCATTCTCTACTTTAATGAGTAGGGAAAAACAACTACTAAAGACGGAGAGGAACCAAGAGGAAGGAAAGTATGAGGACATTAAATTAGAGATCAATGATGAAACCTCGAACACAGATTTCGAAAGAGAGTCCTTACCTTCAAGCCGTCATAGAGATCAAAAACCAACAGGTAGTTACTCTGCTAACACTCTTCTAGGTGGTACTACATTACTGGAATCTGATAGTAAGAAGTTGGAGATCTTGCACAAGATAGAGCGTTTGAGTGAAACTCAACGAGCACAGTTATTCCTATTGTTAGAGCACTTGGAGAAAGGAAGTCTGTCTAAACTTCCAAGTGTATAATCTAGTCATACCCATTTAACTAAATTCCACCAAAGGGTACTCAGACGGGGTTTTGGGGTTTTGGGGTTTTGGGG